CTGCTTCTACTACTACTACTACTACTACTACTACTACTACTACTACTACTACTACTACTACTACTACTACTACTACTACTACTACTACTACTAAACTACTACTACTACTACTACTACTACTACTACTACTACTACTACTACTACTACTACTACTACTACTACTACTACTACTACCACTACACTACCACTACCACTACCACTACTACTACTACTCAAAACTACTCCAGTCGTTCCGCACTTTACCACACCACTACCCACTCCACTACTACTACTGCTGCTGCTGGCTTCTACTACTACTACTGCTACTAACTGCTACTACTGCTACTACGGCTACTACTGCTACTGCTACTACGCTGCTACTACGACTACTACTACTACTGCTACTGCTGCTACGAAATACGAACTACTAGCTACTACTACTACTACTACTACCACTACTACTACTACTACTACTACTACTACTACTACTACTACTACTACTACTACTACTACTACTACTACTACTACTACTACTACTACTCCTTCTACTACTTCTACTACTACTACTACTACTACTACTACTACTACTACTACTACTACTACTACTACTACTACTACTACTGCTGCTGCTGCTGCTGCTACTACTACTACGAATACTAGCGACGCCTGGTACCAACACACACCATACGAACATTAAGTTGCTACTACTGAGGGCAATACTAGTTATATCATTCACCAAAGCAACTCAACACACTTCAGATGACAACACGGCTAGTCAGAGGAGGGAACAGTTGGAGGATGAGGGACATATGAAGATGATCATTATGATGACGCTGATGCTAATGCTGATGATGATGCTGATGATGATGCTGCTGCTGATGATGATGCTGATGATGCTGATGACGATGAGAAGGACGAGGACTAGGAGAGGGAGCAGGAGGGACATAGGTGGATGAGGATGAGGAGGAAGAGGACGATGAGGATGATGATGATGTTGATGATGATGACGATGATGATGATGATGATGATGATGGTGGTGGTGGTGGTGGTGGTGGTGATGATGATGATGATGATGAGGATGAGGATGAGGATGAGGATGGGGATGAGGAGGAGGAGGAGGAGGAGGAGGAGGAGGAGGAGGAGGAGCAGGAAGAGGAGCAAGGAGAAGGAGGAGCAAGGAGGAGGACGAGGAGGATGAGGACGGATAAGAGGAGGATGAGGAGGAGGCGGATGAGGAGGAGGAGGAGGAGAAGAAGGAGGAGGAGGATGAGGTTGAGGAGGAGGAGGAGGGAGGAGGAGGAGCAAGGAGAAGGAGGAGAAGAAGGATGAATGATAGGAGGGAAGGAGAAGTAGGAGGAGGAGGAGCAGGAGGAGGAGGAGCAGGGAGATGCAGGCGGATCTTGGGTCACCACGCGGTCCGTCGCAGCACGGTTTTGGGACACCCAACCCTCTGTCGAGTTCCGCGTCGATGCACAGCCCAGAGCAGCCACGGGGCGGCCACGCGGCGGCCACGCAGCGGCCCAGGTCTGTTTGTGTGGAAGCCTGGAGTTTCACCGAACTCAGTGCTGCGCAGTGCTTCGGCAGCGGCTCCCGCCTCTGGCGGTGCATGCGATGGCCCTTCGGGTGGCGTGCATGCAGCTCTCGGAGCTGGCCCTGCGGGCGGCAGTTCTGGCGGTGCGCCAAGTGCGGGTTCCGCCCCCCTGGTACCGATCCGCAAAAATCAGGCCCAATCAGGCCCAATTCTCCAAAGCAGTGCTTGTACTTAGGGGTTCTTCTGCTCTGAGGAACTGGGCCGGTTGGCCGGTTTTTCGGCTATGTCGTCGCCGTCGCCGCCCCGTCGCTGCTTCGTCGCCGCCCGTCGCCGCTGCTGGATTGCACCACGTAGATTGCACGAACAAATCTAGCCTGTGGCGCGCTTGTTTGATTGCTGACAACATAGATATTGCACAACATAGGGTGCGCCACAGATCGTACAACACATGTTGCACAGCCACATATCTGGCACAACATATTTTCTACCACATATATTGCACAGCGTAAATCACACAACCACATCGAATGCACATCATATATTGCACAAGCCAGACTGGCAACACACGTATTGCACCGCGTAGAGTGCACCACAGAGGTTGCACCACGTATATTGTACTGCATATGTTGCACCACATAAAACAGCGCCACATACATTGCCTCCATATGCTCTATTTGACATATCGCATGTATATATGCATATTGTACAATGTAGACTGTACGACATTTTTTACCTAACAGCGAAGTCTGATAGGTTTCTAGTGGTCTCAAGAGAGAGAGCATCATGACTCCCCAGGGGGTCTGGGCGGGATCCGGACGGGAATCCAGACGGGAATCTGGGGATTCCTTTTTTAGCCAACAGTAACGCACTTCGTGGTCTTTGAGTTCCCAGAGCTCCATTCCTGGCCATGATTTTGAATGTTTGGAGCCAACTGTAGGCCACTTCGTGTTCTTCGAGTTCCCAGAACTCCATTCCTGGGCATGATTTTGAATGCCTGGAGCCAGCTGTAGGCCACTTCGTGGTCTACGAGTTCCCAGTGCTCCATTCCTGGGCATGATTTTGAATGCCCGGAGCCAACTGTAGGCCACTTCGTGGTCTACGAGTTCCCAGAACTCCATTCCTGGGCATGATTTTGAATGCGCGGAGCCAATCATAGGCCACTTCGTGTTCTTCGAGTTCCCAGAACTCCATTCCCGGGCCACATTTTGAATGCTGAGGCAGGCTGATGCTGAGGCTGAGTCAGGCTGAGGCTGAGGCAGGCTCCGGCTGAGGCCGAGGCTGAAGGCAGACTGAGGCTGAGGCTGAAGCAGGCTGAGGCTGAGGCTGAGGCTGAGGCAGGCTGAGGCTGAGGCTGAGGCAGGCGGATGCTGAGGCAGGCTGAGGCTGAGGCTGAGGCTGAGGCTGAGGCTGAGTCAGGCTGAGGCCGAGGCAGGCTGAGGCTGAGGCCGAGGCTGAAGGCAGACTGAGGCCTGAAGCAGGCTGAAGCTGAGGCTGAGGCAGGCTGAGGCTGAGGCAGGCTGAGGCTGAGGCTGAGGCTAGCAGGCTGGATGAGCTGAGGCTGATGCTGAGGCTGAGGGCAAGGCTAAGGCTGAGGCTGAGCAGCTGAGGCTGAGGCTGAGGCAGGCTGAGGCTGAGGGCGTGTGGAGGCCGGCTGTGCTATGCGGCTGAGGCTGAGGCTGAGGCTATGCTGAAGGCTGAGGCAGGGCTGATGCTGAGACGAGGCTGAAGCAGGACTGAGGGCTGAGGCTGAAGCGGCTGAGGTGAGGCTGAGGAGGCTGAGGCTGAGGCTGAGGCAGGCTGAGGCTGAGGCTGAGGCAGGCTGAGGCTGAGGCTGAGGCAGGCTGAGGCTGAGGCTGAGGCTCATGCAGGCTGAGGCTGAGGCAGGCGGTGTCTGAGGCCGAGGCTGAAGCAGACTGATGCTGAGGCTGAAGCAGGCTGAGGCTGAGGCTGAGGCTGAGGCTGAGGCAGGCTGAGGCTGAGGCTGAGGCAGGCTGATGCTGAGGCAGGCTGAGGCTGAGGCTGAGGCTGATGCAGGCCGAGGCTGAGGCAGGCGGAGACTGAGGCCGAGGCTGAAGGCAGACTGATGCTGAGGCTGAAGCAGGCTGAGGCTGAGGCTGAGGCAGGCTGAGGCTGAGGCAGGCTGAGGCTGAGGCTGAGGCAGGCTGAGGCTGAGGTCTGAGCCCAGGCTGGATGCAGCTGAGGCTGAGGGCTGATGCTAGCCGAGGCCGACGGCTAGCTGAGGCTAGGAGTGTGGGGCATGCTGTGAGCTGAGGCGGAAGAGGGCTGAGGCTGTGAGGCTAATGCTGATGCAGGGCTGAGGCTGAGGCAGGCTGAGGCTGAGGCTCAGGCTGATGCAGGCTGAGGCTTAGGCAGGCTGAGGCTGAGGCCGAGGCTGAAGGCAGACTGAGGCTGAGGCTGAAGCAGGCTGAGGCTGAGGCTGAGTCAGGCTGAGGCTGAGGCTGAGGCAGGCTGATGCTGAGGCAGGCTGAGGCTGAGGCTGAGGCTGATGCAGGCTGAGGCTGAGGCAGGCTGAGGCTGAGGCCGAGGCTGAGGCAGACTGATGCTGAGGCTGAAGCAGGCTGAGGCTGAGGCTGAGGCAGGCTGAGGCTGAGGCAGGCTGAGGCTGAGGCTGAGGCAGGCTGAGGCTGAGGCTGAGGCAGGCTGAGGCTGAGGCTGTGACTGCGACTGCCGTTGCCACTGCGACTGTCATCGCGAATGCGACTACGACTGCGAGAACAGCAGAATTCTACAACTGGATTCTCATGTGAATCTTAAGGGGAATGCTTCCAGATATGCTCCTACACATCGCTGTCAGGATGCTTTGCTGGGATAATTGTACTACATGTATGGCACAGCATAGGTATCCCCACACATTCTACACAACACATGCTGCGCACCATTGTCGAGTGGCTAGAGACACACCGTTTGGGGTACGCGCTGGCTAACATATTTATTTATATATATATATAGGCTGCCGCAGCGAACGCAAGGCGGCTACGGGGCGGCCACGGAGGCGGAGGATCGAATAAGGAACAACACCATAAACATGACCTTTCGAGGGTGTGCGGGTTTTCCTGGACGGGCCAGCCGTTGGAACTCCCCGGCGGCCAGGGATAGAGGTTCACCGCCGATCCAAAAGATCGGCGCAGACCGTCGACCGTCGATGCTTGTGCGGCTTCTGCTCCTCCGAGGAGGGGGAACAGGCAGGCATCCTGGCACTCCATTGCAGGATACAGTTTGTGGCCGACAAGAAGCACATGTCAAAGTCCTTCAACAACCGTAGACGTATTAGTGTTTTTGGCCTTTTCGGGCTTTCCTGGAGGCCCTCTTGGAGGCCTCTTGGGCCGTCTTGGGCCGCGGCGGTGCCATCGTGTGTGCACGAAACCCACAGTAGAAAACTTGAATCAAAACACCAGTGCCCCAGTGGTCGTCGCGCTCGCCTGTCGTCGGCAGTCGTTTGTGCTCCCGGACCGCTGTGCGCCGCACGCAGGAGTACTACATCCTGTACCCCAGGGTGGCCTCCGAGCGGGAGGTCGACGAGGCCATGAGGGACCTGCTGGACTGGGAAAGCGTGGTGAAGGACCTCTCCCTTGCTGAAAGAAGGGGGGGGGGAGAAGCGTGAGCAGAAACCGTCGGAGCTCCTCGCCGACCTCTGAGATCGGCGCTGGAGCCCCTTCCCTGGCGCGCCCAACTCGGGTCCGTCACCAGCGCGCCGAGCCTCGGCGGCGAGCGGGGGGGGGAAATGAGGAGGAGAATCAGGAGGGGAAGAAACACACAGACACAATTAATCGTCGATCCCCAGGAAAATATGGGAAAATATGGGAAGTGGTGGGGAAGGCAAAAACACAGAAAATATGGACAAATACAGGGGATATTTTTATTTGTGTGTATTTATTTGTGTGTTCTGGGACCCCTTGAGAGAAGGCCTCCTCAGAAGGCGGCGGGCCTTCTCAGAGGGCCTCTGACCTCCCGAGACGTTTTTTGTCTGTCTCCGGGGAAGGCTTGGAGACCTTCTCAGTAGTCCCGGGAGCTTCCGAGCCTTCTGAGCGGGCGGAGGAGGAGGAGGAGGAGGAGGAGGAGGAGGAGGAGGAGGAGGAGGAGGAGGAGGAGGAGGAGGAGGAGGAGGAGGAGGAGGAGGAGGGAGGAGAGGAGAAGGAGGAGGAGGAGCATCGGGGCGAAAAAAAGGGAGGTGATGCTAGGGGGGGGTGGATATCATGGCGTGGGCCATGGTATTTCCCCAGATCTCATGGCGCCTATTCTTGCTTCACGACGTCCCTGGCCCCCCCCCGCTGGGCCGCGCACATGCCGCCGGTCATGATTTGCACCCCCCCCTCTTGGACACCCCCCTCTTGGCCGCTCCCGATTCTCCTTCTCGCTTCCCCCCTGGGCGCGACGCCTGGAGCCCGTTTCCAGAGCCCGACAGCCGCCCGCCGAGGGCCGATCGGGGCATCGGCTCACCGCCGCCTCGAGGCGCCCGCCGAGGCCCGGCTGGCGGAGTGGGCCTCGACCCTCTGGGGGGCGCAGCAGACAGCGGGACTGCGTCGGACAGGCTTCTCCTGCTCCTCCTGCTCTTCCTGCTGCCCTTCCTCCTCCCTTCCTCCTCCCTTCCTCCTCCTGCCCTTCCTCCTGCCCTTCCTCCTCCCTTCCTCCTCCCTTCCTCCTCCTGCTCCTCCGCCTTTGCCTTTGCCCCCTTCCTCCTCCATCACCGTCCCTCCTGCCCATGCAGGAGACTGGGGGGAGGCTCGTGCGTGCCGCGCCAGAGCACCCCGACAGGCTGTCCGGTCCGCTCTTCTGTCGTGATTTGGGCGGGTGTGGCGATCGGCGATCGGCAGCTGGTCGTGATCCTCCCCCTCCTTTTCCTCCTCCTCGTCCTCCATTTCCTCCTCCTCCTCCTCCTCCTCCGCCTCCGCATCTTACTACAGTCCATCCGTCCTCTCCTCCTCCTCCTCCACCTCCTCCTCCTCCTTCTCCTCCTCCTCCCCTCCCCCTCCCCCTCCTCCTCCCTTGCCGTCGCAATGGAGGCACAGCCCGAGACTGGCGAGCTCTCTTCAGGGAGGGGGTCGGACTGCCCTGCAACTGACAGGTCGGCCAGTCCGATCCCTTTTCTCCTCCTCCTCCTCCTC